ACATACGGTTTTAACGAGGAATCATTTATCGATATCAATTACTCTATAAACGTACAACATTACAATTGTAACATTAAGTACTCTCAAAAATCATCATTGTCACTTTTTATTATTACTTCTTTGATTTTTGGTTTAAATTTTTTTTTTTACTTTTTGTTTTTGGATAAACCATGGGAGTTCCGAACTTTTGGCTCATAATCTCTTCGGTACCCGGAGAAAATTTTTTTTTTAACATTCTAACGCAATATTTTTTTGGGTTTGGTGAGCTTAAATAAGTTTGAGAGAACTCATAATCTCAAACGTATTCGATTTACATAAAAGAACGCTTACATTCAATATAAGTATCATGGAAATTATTTTTTTGTAAGATAAAATATATTTATCTATATGGAGAATATGTCATATGGTGTTTGTTTCTAATTTCTTTCGTATATTATAAAAAATCAAATATTCTAATCCCGCGTTTGACGCGGGTCAAAAATCTAGTTAGTCAATAATTTTAGTATAGCGGTATGATCAAGTCAAGTATTTAGATAAACAAAATCAAAAAGCCAATTGATAAAAAAAATGTTGGAAGAGAAGATTATTCCTCTTCTGATAGATTTTTTGCGGAAGATGTTTGAACAATTGATCCAATATTTAACTGCTGTATTTTCATATAGAGTACAATATAAACTAGATATCCAGCTTATACTGAAAATGCAAATGATAATGTCATTGGAATTTCAGTTGAAAGAACTCTCATATAGTAGATCCAGGGAGCATCCTACTAGGAGTAAAAAATTGTATTTAGTAAAAGTCAACTAAGAGAAGGAAATCAAAATATGACCAAAATCTTCAATGTTTTACATAAATTGCTTCACAACAGGGCATTTGGTCTAGCGGTATGTTTCTCGCTTAGGGTGCGAGAGGTCCCGAGTTCAATTCTCGGAATGCCCTGTTGACTTTTACGAAATTTTCTTTCTAAAATTTTTGCTGAAAAATGTTATAATTATGCCCTTTGGTGTTTGTTATTTCAGTGGTCGGATTAAAAACTCAATAGCAAATCTTTTACGTAAATTTCAGCATGAAAACAAGACCCTGTTACGTTAAGACTTTCACTATATCAAGTGTTAAAAGGCAAACAAAAGAATCAGTTCAACTGTCACGTACCTTTGTTCATGTCTGGCGGCGTCTCTGTAATTAATCACTAGGCTTCAGCAACTGAACATTAATGACTTCCCTTGCATTTCAGCAGGAGTAGATTAGAAACGCTACTAGTTGCTCGTAAACATGTTAACAAACAAAGGACCAGATCCTTACCATTTTAACTGAAAGGTATCATGAATTGGGTGGGCACGCAGTCTTGTGATTATGTCTCTCACTTCAGCTCTTGAAATTCAACCAAACAACACCAAATTTGTGCTTTTACATCCATTGAATTTGATCTCTTCTCTTCAACCCAGAAGACACTCCCGTCTGCAGATTCAATCAGAAATCATGAAACATACTTAAACTAACTCTGTCAATTTCGATGAAAACAAAAAACAATTACAGGAATTTGAGAATCAAGAATTGGGAGCAGCAACTGAAACCTTTTAAATGATCTACAAAAGCATATGCAATTATCCTGGTGCTACAACTTTGCTACCCTCTAAAAGGAAACTGTAATTATGGGATACAAAATTGGAATATTCTGCCTGAAGTTCATCTAAAAGGTATGACAGTGACACTTCAACAGTATGCATTTCCATTGTATTGGTCAGAAAGAAGAACTACAAACCAAGAACAATTCTTTCCAGAAAGGGATAAGGAGACAACGAGAACTATTTAACCAAGAGATGAAGCAGCAACAGGACGACTGAGCTGCGCCAGACCCACGAACCTCCTTGCTCATGGGCTTCGCGGCGGTGGTGACTGCAAAGGGCTTTGAAGGTTGCTGTTTGGTTTCAGAGTCCGAATCTGACTCAATCTCCGACCAAGAATGTAAATCAGCGACGGCGGGAATAGCAAGTTTCACAGGAGTGTTGCACGTAAAATAACAGCAGCGGCGGAAATATGATTCATCTTCTGAGGAAGACGTACGCAAGGATCAATCCGGTAAGAAAACTCTTGCCACTGCTGTTACTGTCACGCCCAACAATCCGGTGACTCCCGTCCTTGTTGACATATCAGAGTTTCTATTGGTCCCTGATTTTGCAAGATTAACATTCAGCAACTCAACAATGTGCATTTGCCTTGTAATGAATATTTAACTTACAAACAATCCACCTTTGCAATAATTGCTGCAACTAAGCCAACTAATAGAAGTAGATCTACGACGTACCTTTCTCCTTAGATCTGCTTAACAAAACAACTTTTCAAGCACCAAAAACAGTTTCGAGTGTCATCACGAATAAACCCCTCAACAGGAAAAGTGAAATAGCAAACCCAAAGTGAAAAACAGAGTAAAACAGAAAGAATTCCTTTTAACAACATAATACTTGAAATGAATTAAATCGACAGCATCATCTAGTGGTATGATTCTTGTTTTGGCTGCAAGAGGTCCCAAGTTCTTTAACTGGAATGCCTCATTAACTCCTTTTATACCGTATGCTCCAATTTCCAGTTAAAACTTTGCTTAGAGATCATTCTTTCTTAGTCCTAGATTTTACGCAGGTCTTGTTCAAAAACAAAGGGACATAAATTTCACTTTCATTTCAGCAAGAGAAATCATTAACATAAACACCCCTAAAGATTTGAAGTGCTTAATTCAGCCAGTAAACTTCATATAGGGAGGACTGTCACGTTTTGTAAGCAGCAAGATTCACAACCAATGATCTGTACAGAAACAAAACGAATTGTGACTACTTCCAACCGAGAAGCAACAATTCTCTTCAACAAATGAGAGAATCCAAATAGAATACATTAACAA